GAGAGTTTGTTGTGTGAGACCACGTGATAATCCTGAGTCCAGGTAAGAAAATTTACAAATCTTCTATCTGAATTTTTATTGGCAGGAAAACAGTAAGGGCAGTAGTTGTATGGCTCAATATGAGATAAGAATTTTCAAGGGTCTTCTCTGTTATGTTTACTGAGGTGTAGATTGATTGATAGTCCAATAAAAGACAATATATCATTCGATTAATTAAGAATAACGATGAAAAAATATGGATCTTATAGATATACAAACCAAAAGTAAAATCAAACGGATAAAAAACCATCACCACATATCGTTTCTCACTAAGATATTTGTCAAGTGACAAATCCTTGACTTCGCCATCGATAAACGCTTTTGCTTCCCAGTTTGGTGCAATTGCCTTCAATTTTCAGTTTTTATAATAAAATAATCAAAAAACGCTTTTTTATTATATTTTCTATCCGAGTGCATATATATATAATCATGTTCAATTTCAAATATACTAAAAATTAGATTATATTTTTACCCGTACTAAAGCGGTTGCACCGCCATTTCCATTTCGTTTATTAACTCTTGTAGCGGTAGTAGTAGTAAATGAAGAACGTTGTTCATATTTTTGAAAACGCGTACTACTACTTATTAAGGCTGGAAGAGTCCTATGCGTTACATATTTATGTGGCGTCAAGGAAATAATAGAGGATTTTAGGACGGTTCTTGAAGTGGCTCGACGTAAAGCAAACATTGTTAAGTAATGTAAGGAATTGGGGATAAGTTTTTATATGGTGCGTAACATCTATAATCATCAAACAATTCTAATATATCTAGTCTTCCAATTTGGGTAATATTCAAAATATGAAAATGATAAGTTTAGTCAGATTCACGGTTTAATTTTTTTAATTATTTAGTATCGATAAAATACAGTATATTTGATAAAATTAAGTTTATCATGGAATTTTGGATAAAAAATATATAAATATGGTCCGGTGCAAAAAGATTAGTACATCAAATAAATATTAATAGATTATTTTTTCAAAATAAAATTTTAATTCTG